CTCAGGCATCGTGGTGGTTGCCGGAGGTATGAATGCGCAAGTGGGCAGGCTCAGTGCATCTGAGACTCAATTGGGAGGTCGACATGGACTAGACTCGGTACGTACGGACAATGGGGAACGATTGCTTCAGCTGTGTGCTGATCGCAGGCTGTTTTTATGTAGCACGAACTTCCGAAATAGCCGAAGTCGTCTGGCCACTTGGTGTCCTTCAACAACAGACCGGCCACAAACTCAAATCGACCACAATGCCATCAGTTACCGATGGCGCGGATCCATAACTGCCTGCCGGTCGTTTTGGAACACATTTGTGGGCTCTGACCACGCGCTCGTCCGGAGTCGCTTCGCCCTACGTTTCCCGGGGCCGCGTAAGGTGCGGACAAATCGCATGGCAAGTGAAAGACTGACAGATCCGAATGTCGGACGAACTTACAAGAATTGCTACAAACAATCTCTTCCAAATGCTCCACCATCAGATGTGAACTCGTACTGGGATGAAACTGCCAATTCTTTGCGTGGTGCTGGGATGCCTGTGGCTCCACCATCAGATGTGAACTCGTACTGGGATGAAACTGCCAATTCTTTGCGTGGTGCTGGGAATTTTGCCTGTGGCACGACCTAACCAGGCGCACTCAAGCACTGTATAGCAGACCGATCGTTGGCACTACTTGAATCTCGAAGAAATATCCCAGCCGGTCCCGAACATAACCGGGTCCGCAGAGTTATTAGGCGTCAAACGAAAATGACCTTGCGATCCGACCGCGAAATATGGTGGACACAGAAATCCAATGAAATGTCAGAGGCTCAGAAAGCCGGTCGATCCCGGAGACTACTTAAGTTAATCCGTACGACCGGTCCCCGGAAACCACCTGTGGGTGAAACTACCAAATACCAGAATGGAACGACCATCTCGAACAAAGAAGAACGCCTCCACCGGTGGGCCGAATACTTCGAACAACAACTGTTGTGGCCACAAACCGGCACTCATCTACATCCTACAGGTGAAGTAGAACCC